AGAGAAAAGGCCATAGGACGACCCTTTCTTTAAAGAATAAGGACACTCGTTAAATAGTCACCAGTTTCATACTCAAGAGTGATTAATTTCGTCATGTATACGACAGACTGTATGCTTTCAACAAAAATTAAGGAACATTAGGAAGAGCAAAAAGTGGCTAATTATTTTTTAGTCATCAGCTACTAACAGAAAAAAAGTTATGTATGATAGTCACAGGGAAAAAAAAGAACCATAAGATTGCCATTACAATAAGAAAGCTATATGAAACAATATCTTCTATTTCTATAAAAATATACATATACTTCAATGCAAGTGGTTTCACTATTTTAGAGTTAAGTCATTGATATTAAAAAAAAAAATAATAAATAATTGCATATACCTTTAAGTTCTTCAAATTTTAACAAAATTTGCTGACCAATATAATAAATATTACAAACAATATTTTTACATATTCATTACAAACTGTTAGCATAAAATATATATCAAAAGCAATGACTTTTGAAACATTATTTTCAATTCTTTTAAAACATACATTAAAGATAAAAACAAAACTATTATGTAAAAAGTTGACTATAACAGTCTAAGTTAAGAAAAAAATCAGTATAAAACAATTTTATATTTTTTTTTGGTGTAATATATTGAAGGTCATCAGTTTGCACAAAATTAAAAGTGAACATAAAATCTGCTATAAATATAGCACTTCAGACCTAAAAATAACCAAAAGAATTATCTTCAGCTAATTATTATTTTTACTATTATTATTATAACTTTAACAAAAAGCAAATGCAAAAATAAAACATTGGATTTCAATATTAATCATGAATACCAGTTTTTACATTATTGTACTATTGATTATTATTTTATTTTATTGATTTACAGAGTTAAATTATTAATTATGAATGCTCTAAAACCTAGTTAAGAAGAAAAAAGATGTTAAACTGGTGATAAATTTTTAATTTGAAACTGTCAATGCATAATTTAGGAGATATTTAAACAAAAGAAAAGTGATGGTGAATTAAGTAAAAATAAAATGCAATAAAACTCAGTTAATCATACAGAATAATGATTAAAAAGTTTTAATCATACAAGATATAAAAAAGCACTAAGATTAAGGAATGAAATTTAATTTTAAAAAAAATAAAAATCTATTTAGATGAGGATAAGTAAGAAAAGAAATCATTTAAAATTTAATTTTAAATGAATTTTTTAATGAGAATCTTATTAATCTACACCATTTTTACAAGAAAAGAATGTATGCAAATAAATATTTGTTGAAATAAGAAAAATTACTTAAGAGAATATATCAAAATTTATAAAACAAGAAAAAAATTTAAACTATTTTGATTTAATATATAAAACTGATAGAATTTTTCTTCAATCAAAAAAAAAACAAAAAACCATTCAATCTGATAAAGATAAGAAAAATGTCTGCAACTCATTTATTGGACGTGTTTATAGAGGAGAAGTGTAATTTTATTTATGAATAAGCTCTTTTATTGACAAAATCTCAAGAATCAATAAGCACCCTTGCAATGGTACATTTGCCTAACAGACAGCCCAAGAACTCATTCACACTTTTTAAAGGCATCTCGGCACCTTGAGGTCCAGTCATCATGCAATCCTGCAGCATGTGTGAGGCACTCATTGTTCTTCATTTTTTTTTAATTTTCATTTTAGTGACTTACTCACTAATTTATAAGCATATTAAGTTGTAGAGATGTGAACAAAAAGTTTCACCAAAAAATAAAAACAGATAATGGATTTAAATAATAATTTGTTAAGTCTTGGTGTAAATTTCCCTCCATAAATACGTGAGATAAGCCGGTTTTATGTAGGAAAGCATAGAAGCTGAAATATGATTTTTTGTGCACAGTACATTCCATATAATACAGGTAATAGAGCTAAAACTCATTCAAGCTCGTTTTAAATTCAACTAACTAGTTAAATCAAAGATATACTCAACAAACATATATATATGTATATAAAATTATGCAATAAAAATAGTCTATTTAAATAAATAACAAAATAATTTAGAAATTTTTAATTACTAAAAAAATTATTTCATGTCCATATATACAGTATACTCTCGATATCTCGAAAATCTTGTCACATCAAAAAAATATTTTTCCCCTCGGCATTACATATCCACCCATTGTTAACTCGAATTCCTAAGTCGAAGGGTTTCTTTTCGAAGCCTTGCTGTGTCTAATTTTTTTCGAAACAGAAAATGAACTTTCTCACAAAAATAACAATGTAAGTTCATTGTAAATTAATTCTTTTCTATTTAATGCATTATTATTTTTGTCTTACTTTTAAAAATAAAATTATCATTGTTGCATTTAGACTCATAGTCAGCAACGATTATTACATACATATTTAATAATAATTATTCTTATGTTTCATGACTCTACTTTTTAAAGTAATATTTTTTAGAATACATTTTTCTTCTTTTTAAAACATATTTAGTTCCGAACTTGTTATCTGAAAAACTTGCTGGCTTGAAATTTTTTTAGCATCCCTTCAACTTTGAGATATCAAGAGTATACTGTACATATTTGTTTAAAAAAATGAACTTTGCTTTACATACAAACAAATCTTTTTCCTAGCTTCAATTTAGTTGCTTTCCTGTATAATAGCAACGTTTTTCATTGTTTCTTTCAATGGAGAGACAAGCTTAAGAGAAAATCCATATTCAGATGCTTATGAGTGAGAGAATTATATATTTTTCTGATCTCCTTCAAACAGGTAGCGTATTTCTCATTTACTTCTTTAAAGACTGTCACAGACAGTTCTCAAAGATTTGAAATTTTTCAAGCCTGTTTAAAAAAAAAATTTAAAGAAACTAACTGATCACATCTCCTTGAATTTTAATTAATTAAATATAATGTTGCACACTAGTTTTTGTTCTTTTCATATTTTACTTAGCAGTATTTTATCCCATTTGTGTATCTTTCTGCAAGAAATATTCGAGTGGAATAAGGGTGTTGTAAATACTGCGCTAAAATAATTTACATCCATAAAAAAAACATACATTTGAAAGTCAAAATTACTTTAGTTACAATGAATATATCTAAGCTAGTCTAGCAAAATAAGAATATTTAAACATTTAATGCACTAATCCCACTTGAATAATGGTATTATAGCCCATACACATAAACACAGGAGTTGAAATAAAATTAAATTTTGATACAAATGAATACCTAAAATAATTAATATACTCCCTTTTTTAATGGAATAATATTATATGTTTTAAAATATTTTTAATAGAGAAAAAAGTACTAATTTTAAAATTTACTAAAACTATCAAAGCAGATATAAAGTTAGAAATGTTTTGTCCCCTGTTTTTACAGTGGTCCAATGTTCAGCAACTTAATAAGAATATCCAATACTATTAAAAAAAAACATTTCACACAGTATACAGTACAGAGTCAGCACACTTAGAATTAAGTAATCCAACCTTGAATTTCCATACTTTTTCAAACACACACCTGATACAAAAAGCCTAAAAAACACTCTAGTTTTAGGCATAATAAGTAGTTATAGTTAACAGTATTTGGTGTAACATTTATAATTACATTTGACATTTAAATGTGTAAAAATAGCAGTATCCAATTGCTTATCAATATAGTCAATTTGTTTATTTCAGTTTTTCTTAAACTAAGAAATTAGTTCATTTTTATTTGTCAGTATTCAAATACTATTGTAACACAACCTTCATAACCAAGTACATAATATTAAATAAACAGGAAAGTGTAATCATAAAAATTAAGAGTTGTCGATTTACTTAAAAATTATCCTGTTAAATAGCAGAATGAAAATGTGGGAAATCAAATAAATTTTTGAAAAAAAGGAACTTGCTTAATGTGAAATTCAAACATTGATTTTTAAGACAAATTAATTAGATACCATAACTGAGTTTGTTTTTGAATGTTAGATAATATAAAAAGTTGAAATATACACCAAAACAAAATTGTTAATTTTCTAGAATTTGGTCCTTCTAAGCATGCAATTGTGTGCTATTTATAAGTTATAGGACTGTTTAAAACTTATTTCTCTTCATTAAACATTTGTGCTGTCTCTTAGGTGCTATTTTAAAGATGTTATACACAAAAATATATTTTCTTTTTTAAGTTCCGTCAAGTTCTAATAATGAAATATTTATTCACGTGGTATTTAATGTTGGCAAAAAATAAACTAAAAATGATTGTATCTTTACCATTTCAATTAAAGTGAGTTTATAAAAACTGCAATAGTTAGAAAATCTCGAATGTTATTCAAAACCGTTAACTTAATTATTTTTTAAAACAGACATTCTTCCAACAATTAACATTCAATCTTATTCATATCTCCTTTCACAATGAAGATGTGACTAGGCCACAATTTTAATAAACTTTTTCTCCATTAGCACTTTCACAATTCTGACTATATTGTCAAATTGTTTAATGCTAAGATTGTCAAATTCCATATGGTAACTTTCAAAAGAGCTATCCATAGATCAGAAGCAGCTTAATATTCATCACTGATTAAACTTCAAACGCATGTATTCATTGCATTCTGATTCAAACTATTTTAAATGTAATTTATTTACCAAAACACATTTGCTCACTTAAATTAAATCTTAAAAAAAAAAAAAAAGCTTTAATACTCATTTTAAAAGTCTCTGAATCTAACATAGTTGGAAAGTTATGGTATAGAGGTCAGTGATTGGCTGAAATCCAAAATTAACTGAAAAGAAACTAAATAAAAATGTTTTTGTTGACTTAACATAGAATGATTGAAAAAGACAATTCATCTTTGTACAGCATGCACTCAAATTTATAGGTATGCATTCTTTTCTCTAGTTTTAAAAAATTATCTTTAACATTCAAAGTATCGATTATTTGCACACAAAAGAACGTTAAATAACCATATATTTTGAAAAATAAATTAGCTTTATAGCTAATTATTATAATAATATAAATTAGTTATTATATTTCAAATGAACAGGTTTTTTTTTTTGTAAATTGTTAGGTTCCTTGCTAAGTGATTTCTCGTAGAAAAATTTTCAAACAAAGCAAAAAAAGAGCTAAATTTTTATAGTTAGGCATCTCAAAATAATTTATGAAGTTGGCAGGACTTTTTACTGATTAAAAATTAAATTATATGTAGTTCTATAAACAGTTAACATGATAATGACACCTAGTAAGAATGTGACATTTGGAGGAACCAAGTGAGGTAAACAACTCTGCTAATTTTAGGACATTTTTAAAGAGTCAGATTAAGAGGGGGACTACTGGACTTATAGTTCCAGGCTTTTTTATTGTTTAGGGATCTCTAAAATATATGAAGGTAAAGTCGATTTTTGGGATTTTCCAATTATTAGGCTTTAAGGGTAATGTTTTGCAGTTTTCCATTTAGAATCTTTAAAAGTTTTATGCATTTTTAAAAGTAAAATTTGGAATATAGATAAACAAACTATATCAGGTCATGTTATTTCTTTCTGCCTTTCATCCAATTCACTAATATTTTCTTCTTTTGCTTTAAGTCCCAAGTTTTTGGTTTTCTCCGTATTCATTGATAAAACCCTTACAATTTTCAGAGGTCTCTCTCTGCTGGCCAAGCATAAAAAATTTAGTAAAAACGTAAAATTCTAATTTGTTTCCTTCAATTTTTTAAATTTGTATGTTTGGTAATTCTTACTACTACTCAAGATTTGCAATTTCATACAGGATGTTTTTTGCTGACATGGAGATTTAATCAAACATTAATGGTTAATGTAATTATTTTTGAAAAAAATTAAAAAGGTTTTTCTCGAAAATAAGTTTAATTGTAGTTGAAATTCATAAACATTTTCAATATTTCTGAATATAGTTATGTTTTGGATAGTTTGGCCAAATAATATTCTCATGATATATAATAGGTCTCATTATGCCTTAACACAACCCTGGCTGTTTGTCATAACTATTTAACCATATTAGATACAAAGACTTTTTTCTTCCCTGTTCAAGATTCAGTAAACTCGGGAAACTTAGATGAGTTAAAACCTCTACAGACTTATTCACTGAATATGCCATAAAATTTTTAAGAATTTTAAATATGTAGTGTCATTATCACTCAATTTATCAAGCATGGTCAAGTAAATAGGTCTGCTGGTTTTTCTTTTTAATAAATAAAAATTGATAAGTCTGAAGTGTGAGCTTCTCAACTATCCCTTAAGGCCGCTTTCATATAAACTGTGGAACTTAATGCCAAATCATTAAAAAAAAAAAAAAAACTACAAATGAATTATTTCGGAAATTGTTTCCTTGATTCATTTGCATTTCACATCTGTGAAAATCAAATTGTTTTTAAAAAACATATGCAATTTTGAGTAGAAAATACTTTTTGAAGCAAATCTCAGACTGAATTAATTTTTTAAAGTAAAGAATAAAAAAAGAATTTTTTTCTTTTTCTACACAGATTTTTAAATCAGAGATTAATGAAAGGGAAAATAACAGTAAGAAACTACATTTATTTTCTACTTAGTTGCAAAAAAATACTGCAATTTCAGTAAAGAAGGATAATAAAAAATATATTATTCACAATACAGTTTTAGTTGCGGTTATAAAAATTCTTCTGAGTGTAAGCAGGTTTTTGAAAAATAATTGCCTTTTAATGTTTCGACCATTTCTAAAAATGCTCATCTCTTTCACTTTTTTAAATAGTAACAAAAAAGTAAATTAATATTTAAAAAAATTTAAATTTTAAGAAATAACAATAAAACAAAATAAAATATTTAAAAATATGAATGATAAATCCCCAGTAAAATTCTGATTTAAAAAAAATTAAATTACTATCAGGCACAATAGGTTGTTACTATTTTTTTAACCCATACATTCATCTTCATTAACAAAATTCCTTAATAAATAAAGGCTTAAACTGTTAAAAACGTTACTTCCTCGGCTTTTTCAATAAACATAATCCAGATACAAAAATAGTACATCAGCTCATATTTCATCAAGAGGATGCAGAAAATATAAACTGTCAAAAACCAAATAATTGTAAATGAAGCTTTGCAGAATGTATAATTATTTTTTAAGAAAATGCTTTTCAAGAGAAACAATTTTACATCAGATAGACAAGTCATAAATGGCATATCTATATAACCTTTTTTCCTCTTTCCCTTAACAAGATCTAAAAAGAATAAGTCACATGCATGTATGGTCCAAAATCTGATATACACTCATGATGAAAATGTTTTTGAAAAAATTTCTATAAATGGCTAATGAAACTATTATTTAACTAGTAGATAAATATTCACAACGAACAATTAGTTGGTAAAGAAGCACAGAAATTTTTTTAAAAATAAAATACAGTAAAGCACTGTTTATCTGGAATGATCAGGATCGTGCATTTTGCTCCAAAAAAAAAAATTTTTTTTTAGGGGGACAAAAAAAAATTCCCTTTTTACGACTTTGAAAACAGTTTTTTCTTGCAAGTTTTTAAAGAGTAAAAGATGTTTTTAAATGTGTCTGAAATAGGCAAAAGAATCATACTGTTGTCGCATAAAAAAATTTATATAGTTAAAAAGAGTGAAAAAAAAAGACGAAAACATTAAAATAGCCCTTGTATATGGCATTGGCACATTACGAGTACAAGGTATTAAAAAAAATTGCAATTCGATTTTAAACTTTGCATCAGTTTTTATTTCAAAAAAGGAAGAAAAAAAACAATAATGTAAAATGAAAAACAATGAATAAGTTAAATTCGAAGATGAATGCAAAATGTTTAATTCTCTCCAAAATAATTTCCAATCTTAAGCTTAGAATATGCGTCAAAGGAAGTAGACTAAACCATTATTCATAGCAGTTTTTCTTAAAGTTTTCAATCACTTAGATTTTTAATTTGCCAAATTGACTTAGGTCCCAACCGGTCTGGATAATCGGAGCTCTACAGTATTTAAAATAAAAGATAGTAGTTTTGAATTTCAGAAAGAAAAAAAAGAAACTTGCTTTAAAATTTTAAGAATCTAAGCTGGCCAATAACTCATTGTAAACAAAAAAGTAACTCATTACACTCAACTAACATATAAATAATTTGTTTGTCAATATATATTGACCACAAATTAACACTCACATTAAGAAAGGCAAATATGCAACACTGTCTAGATTAAACATAATACAGACACACACAGACACAAAATAATCAAAATTGTCATGAGGAAAAAACATATCGTATTCTGAATCATTGAGGAGACACGATTCATAGCTTGATAAACACGAGTGAATCAAACTCTAAACCTACTAACAGTATTTAATTAATATTTCTTTTGTTAACCTCCATGCTGTGGGATTTTGGACATTTTTCTTTTTGCTATGAAACAATTTTGTCATAAAGGTGAAGACAGAGGTTTTATGGTGGATGGTTTTTTCCCCCATATAATTTAATTTACTTAAATTTATTGAAGTCTTTTACTAGCGGATGGAGCACCAGGTTTGATGATGTCCCCGTTTGGAGTAGATATAGCGCCACAGTTCTTGCAGAGGGGATCAAATGCGGATCTTTGACTGGGTAACAGAACAAAATGCATACTGGGCTTGGGACAACTAAACTCTTGAAAATCAGCACAAACAGAGCTCCTAAATAAGAAAGGGGAAAAACTTTACAAAAAATATTCTTTAAAATACTTTATGAAATGGTATATTGATGAAAAAAATTGAATTATTCTTCCGAAAATATTTATAACATATTTATAGAGGAAAAAATATATGTGAAAACACATATGTGGTTTGATTTAAAAAAATTCATTTAACTTTAATGTTTATCTGTTCCCTATGTTTAACTGTTTTGTCCCCTTGAAGAAGAAATAACCAACAACTTTTTGAACTTTAAAATTATAAATGTTATAGATATTCTATAAAATTACGAATTGATTTTAAAAAATTAAATGCCTAATAAGAGATACATTGTAACGTAGTGTTAAATTGTCTAGAATTATTATTAATTCCTAATACTCTAAGAAGTTTCAGAGAAGATTTCCAAGCTTCCCCAGTTTCAAGAACAAATGGCCACTACGAAATTCAAGGCCATTTTTAGCCAGTACCAATGGCGTATATTGTTTAATTTGTATTAAAAAAAACAACTTATATTCATTAATTTCAAATAACTCATGCAATTTTTTAATAACCTAGGTGTAAAATTCTCAATAATTGAGGCATTTTGTAAAAGCTATAAACTTTATTTTTTTCATGTTTGTACCAACACATTAAGTAATCTATAACCATTAAAATTAAAATACAAATAAAAGTATAAGCTATTAACATAAACTCTATTAATAGTTAATGCAAGCACAGTTTAATCTATTCATATGCTAGAAATGTATATCGAATATCACCATAGAAACAGACAGGAAACAATTTACATGTAACATGATTTTTCAATAAAACAAGAACGATAACATCCAAAAAGCATACTAATTATTATAATTAAAGATAAAATTTAAACGCTTCAAAAAACCAAATAAGGAAAAAATAAGTTATTTCTTAATCTAAATTCCCGCACATGTATATAGATGAAAATATAGATAAAATTACAGCAAATTTAAAATTCTAAGTTAATGTTTTTTAATAACTAGGTTGGCATGTATTACTTTGGATAGATAAATATTTCTGTTTGACTGTGCAACACTAAATTATAAGTAATGCATTGAGTATTATATATTTGGAATAATAAGGAAATAAACTAGAAAAACAGATTTTAGGTTTTAAAAAAAGTAAATAAAAACTATATAATTTTGCGAATTAATTAATCCTTAAAACAGAAAGTTCTCAAAATTATGATATTGTAAACTGCGGAACATTTTATGTTTCAATTAGAATTATATATGTCCAACTCCAAATAAAAACTGAAATTTTGTTAATAATTTTGGTTTCACAATGTAATTTACGTAACATTTATAGATAATTTGATTAAACTTATTAGGGTTCCTTTTTTGTTGGAAATTCAGCTAGCTAAATATCATTACTAGTCATTAAAAAAAACTGCACAAATTTAACTGCCAAAGAGTTATTTTTATTTGTATTTGCTGATAGAGTTATTTGTATCTGATGACAGCACATTTGTAATTATCAGAAATTTTGTTGCCTACATTAAACTCGGCAATTAATTTTATAAAAATGAAGGATGTATTCCATGAAGAAACATGACTTCCTACCTAGTTTCCTCAGCTATTTTCACTTTCTCACATCCATCAGGGGGCTCTCTAGCAAGAAATTTATTAATATGAGGACTGGTTGCCAATTTATTAGTATATCCTTCTAAATCTGGAGAGTCTTTACTTCCTTCTGAAAAAATAATAATAAACCACATGAAAAATATTTAGAAAAATTAAGGAAAAAAAATTCTTTAATCACGATTTAAAAATAATATATAAAATCAACATAAATTATTTTAATTATTTTTAAATGTAATTCAATACTGATCTTTTATCACTATTACTAAAAATGCTACTCAATGATCTAAAATACATGTCATCCTCCCTTAAAAATACCTATAAGAAATTCATTTTATTCAATGACTTAATTCTAAAAGACATAAATAACATATTTAACATGTAAAGTTCAAATGTGTGTTGTGATTAAAGCTGATAAGAGGAGCTGAGATTTTCTTAGATTAAGATTACGGATTGACGTGGGGACAAATTCAAGTTTTCTACAAAAATAATTAGAACTTTCTGAAATCAAAGGTATTTACATTTGATTTTAATTTCTTATCATATTTCCTTCAACTCAGCTTAATCATATTTCCTTCTATTTTCTGTAGGGTAGCTCAGTAGGTAGAGAGTATCAGACTTTGAACAGGAAAGGCCGGGGATTGATCCTTGACATCTCTAAAACCCGAGTACATGTGATATACATGCTCTAAAAATCTGTGGAATCGAAAGATCTGTGGTCTGATGCTTAGTAGTACCATGGGTACAGGTATCTGGAAATTCTTTTCTTCCTCTTCAGATCTATGTGTGAATTGTGGAAGTGGGCTCACAAATGAGCGGTGCTGCCATCTATCCAGGGGTTCTGAGCTAAGTGACACTTTTACCTCGCAATGCTCTCTGGTAAGACGGAATCTTCCTGACTTAATTCGCAAGACCAATGGCTTGTTTAAGCGTCATTAGAAACAACAAACTATTTTCTATTCCAGTTTTAGACTAATATAATGACATATGGTTCTGAGAAATAACATTAAATATGAATTGCAATACAAAATAAAATGAATGGAACTCAAAAGCCTTCATAATCACTCTAAAATAAAAAAAATTCTGAGTTAAAAAAATGATGTAGTCAGCAGTAGCAGAAGTAAAAAAACTACAGAGAATCTACATAACTTGGATCTCTGCATAATCATTACATTTACAAATTTGGCCTTATTCCACTAAATTTTATATGATACATAATAAAAGGCTTATTATAAACACGCTTACAAAACGTTTTTGCAATGAGCCTAAGAAATCCAGTTCGGTTGATAAATTCCTCACATAGTTTCTAATTAATCTGAAAGTCTTTAAAATTACCTATGACACTTTTCCATTAAGCTTAGTGCATTGCATAATGCAGGCAATATTTGCAAAGAGCTGGGCATTTTCTTATTAACTTAGAGCAGACATACAATATAATAGAGACTATATTTGCAGACACAACGCATACAATTAAATAATATTAATTTTTAAAAAAAAAATCCAACATATCAGGTATTATAACGAAGGCATAAGGATGCAAACTAAAGCACACTAATAATTTTTCTTTGCTTAAATGATATACCTACCATTACTCGAGGGCCTAGAACTATCCATTTGACCAGGTATGATTGGTACAACAGGAGAAATAGATTGGCTGCCACTGTGGGAACTGTTACTACTCTGACTACTGGAACCACGATCGAAAGGAGTTTGAGTATTAACACTTTGTGTGTTTCGGAACAAATCAGCAATTGGTGCTCTGTGCCCTTCTGGAGTAGGTTCCAATGCCTGCAAACATAGAATGCAAAACTCAGTTTTTAATAGTTCACACCATAACTGCAGTCAAGGATATAATGTTAAAGGCACTTTGGATTGAAGCTATTAGTTCTTTTTCCTTTATGTGGAAATGTTAAAAGAAGGTGCTTTACTAGAACCCATTTCCACACTTCATAAGATCATGAAAACAATCTAAGCAATATTCATCTGTCCTCAAATACTAACTAAAAATTTACTCTGATATGTTTTGCCAATCTTGTAAAAAATACGAAACTCATTTTATTTTTTCAGCATCTACACAAAGAAGAAAATTTAAAATAAAAATTTTAATATAACTTAAATTCTTATTTAAATATGGAGCTAAATAAAGCAATTAAATAAGGATAAAAAATAAACTATTTTCTTAGCTTATTACAACTTTGAACCAGGATAACCTTTTTTTTATTAAAAAATTGTATGAGGAACTTAAGCAGTATATTTTAATATCTATTTTCATGTCAAACATAATTTTTTAGCTTGTTAAAAGTTTCTGAAAAATGTATTAAACTTAAATTTCAAATGACCTCTGAAAAATTAACATTATTCTCATTATTAAAATTTCAAAAATATAAATTCTGTTATAAAATTATTAAAAAAAAAATTTATAATTTTATAACAGAATTTTATAATTTTAAAAATCTTATAAAAAAATTTTTTGTCATTAAACTACTTTAATTCACATTACAAATAACTGAGTTTTTATGATGGATATACTTTGTCATTATCTTCCAAAAAATATAGATTAATTAACTTATGCAAACATACATGACAAGTCATGATTAAAAACCTAACCTTTTTTTTTTCAGAATTCTTTGTTAACCAGGAAGAGAATAATAATAAGGAAAAAATGTATGAACCTGTCTATAATAATGGAGTGCAATTAGGAAAAATTCGAAAATTATGGAAAAGTTTAGAGGCATTGATGTTGACATTGACATAAAGATGAAGGTGGGTTAGTTATAGTCAGCATACGAATAATAATAGCTGTGAAAAGAGCATTTTGAAATCTAGTGACTCACAGAAGATGGTTGGTAGATGTCAAAGAACTTGAAGAGAATAAAGATTAAGAATTGGTAACTTTTATATCAAAACTGTAAAGAATGAAACGCTGTTGGGAGGCAGGATCGATTCAAGGGACTGTTAGGCTATTGAGAAGCAATATTTTAAGGGCAATTAATGTAAATGTGCGAGCTTTGATAACAGGTGTTTGGTAAAGTGACATTTCATTAAATAAGTAATCTAGATTGACTTTACATTGTACAATCACTAAACAATATTAATTTCTTTAAACATGGGAGCTCTCACACATTGATACAGTTAAAAATGCAGTTATGTAACTTAAGATGTGAAAGTAGATAACTTACTCTATCACTTTCTTCACCGTCAGTGTTAGAAATTTCTCTTAAAACTATCCGTTCTATTTCCTGAAGGAAAAAAAAACAATATTTCATTCAGTTTTAATTTTAAACTATTAAAAAGAAAAATATATCCAAATTTCACTTTAAAGAAAATTTATTATACTATTTAAGATATTTTTGCATTTAGCATATTTTGTCCATATTAATGTATTTTTAAAAAAATGAATATTCATTTTAAATATACAAGAATTCAATAAATAATTCCAATAAACTGAAGCAGTAAGATATAATTTGATTAAAGAAACTTCATTCCCTTCAAAAATATGTAGGTAGATTGGAAATAATACTCAACATGTTTAAAGCACTCAAAAAAAGTGTTTCTTCTTATTCATGTCTGGCATGTTTTGGAAATGGACACCTATTTTTGAGAGTGACTGTTATTTCCAATCTGCATAATTTTGAAGCGAATGAAAAATTTTTTATCAAGCAATACAAATATTGGTTTAAAAAAGGATTAAAAGACATCTAAAACATAATTATTGTGGAATGAATTTATTTCTCCAGAGTGGAGATAGATGGTTCTAGCTGTCTTTCATTGGATGTGTGGATAGCAAGTACTAGTTCAAAAATAACTCTGAAGTAGTGAAACTACTGTAGTCGCTACTTTTTTTCGTAGTTTGTGGTGTAGTGTGCAACTTCTTTAAAAAAGTAGTGTAGTGAGTAGTGTGATACAAAAAAAAAAACAATAGTTTGTAGCAATCCCTGGCAAATACTTGTAACCTTAGTTCAGAAAAGAAATACAGCTCTAATAAATAAAAGAGCATTAAACAATTACTAAATTGCAAGTACTTGATAATTTTGCATTTCTTAAATTATCTATTTGCTGTCAAAAAAGGCATAAAAAGTTGAAGATTAAATGAACAATTTCGAGAAAAAAAATGTTTTGGAAAAAGAAACCAGCATATGTAAAGATGAATAAATATTTCTTAATAATTTCCTTTTATTTAATGTAAGTCAATTTCTTATTCAAAACCATTTTGAACATAGGTGTAAATTAAGTTTACCAGCAGAGTTTGTCTCCCCTAAGAAGTGAAGTAGTTGCTACAATTTCCAAAGTAGTTTGTAATCATTACATTTAAAAAAAAAGTAGTTGTAGTTAACTATATTTGTAACTAAGTAGTTGTTGTAAACTACAAAAATAATGTAGTTTTTCTGACCACTACTCCGAACCATTGAAATAGCAGGTTGTCTAGAAAAGTGGTGTAATATGAAAGTGAATTCCTATCTTATGGGCAAAGAATATGTTAAATGTAAATGAACGCAACAAACCATCTGACATTTTTCTTGCATGACAAGACTAGCCGCCATAGTGCTAAGAAAACTTCACGTGGGAAGTGCAGAGTAATAACCTCATAACATATTTGACATACAGTGACTATTTGTTAATTCAGAAAATGAATGAAAGCTTATCTGAAACAAAGCTGAGTAAAGTCACCAAAAACTATTTCAAGTTGGGAGTGACATAATTTTAACTAAGATGGATTGAGCAAGTTGGCATGCCTTCTGTGAAGTCAAACTTTCTGTGGGTCAGTTTCCTTACTAATGACAAAGTAGTTACATTTTCAGAATAATATTGCAAAAATTACCAAAGGTACAAAGATTATGAAGTCACTCTTTTAATGAACATGAAAAAGGTTTAAAATTAATTTTTTTTTTACCAAATATAATCATTTTTTTCTTCCAATGCCCACCTGTGTTAACATCCGTCAATTCAGGCATATACAGAGCGATTTTGTTGGCCTCTCTTTCAGGGGCACCCTATTAGGTGGGCCAACGTCGCTCCCACAGTGAGGACAGATAGTACAGAGAAGGAAAGAACATTCATGCCTTGCCCGGGATTTGAACCCAGAACCTTTCTGATGCAAGGACAGTTCCCTGCCCTCTACACAGGCTGGTCACCAAATTTAATTATAGATTAACCAATATTTTTGCAAATACATAGAGGGGGTGCAGCAAAAAAAAAAAAATTGAACAAAGATACTGCATTATGGTATTGAAGTTAATTTCTTTTCAATTTGTGCATTCCTTTCTTTTTGTGTATCACTTAAATTTTTATTTATTTTTACCTAAGTTATATTCAAAATTGATTGTCCTGGTTTTTTTTCTTCTTTTTTTGTGTCGCATCCTATAAATTAAAAAAAAAAAATATGAACATTACCAAAACTGCAAATATTATGAAATTACCCTTTTAATAAACATAAAAAATGTTTTAAATGAACCATTATTAAATAAACAAAAATATGAAAAAAGATTAAGTTTGGAACTTTTCGCCAAATATATTCATAAAAAAACCAATATTTCGTAAGAAATAGGTTTCCCTAAAGCAGAAAATTGAACTTCGGAGTGACTAGATGTCACCACATATTCGAAAATGTTGACAACAATGGAAGACTAAATGTAAAAAAGTATTACAATATTGTCATTTAAAAAATTTTAAATAACATTTTATAGGATTAATAATATTAATTAACTTCCATAAGTCTGCCTATAAAAGAAGTTACCTTTATCACTGCTATTAAAAGGAAAGTATTTTCCTTTTTAACACAGAATATTAGTTTTCTTACAAGAGAAATTCTATCTGTGAAAATTAAATTTAATTTTTTGCATCTTAAAAATAACTCTCCTAATAAAGCTGTAGGAGTAACAAGTTTTCTTAAAAAATAACAATGACATATTTCATCTCAGGGTGCCTGGAGATTTAGTAACAGTTATAAATTCGATATCTCATCAGAATTTCTTTGATCTTATTCAACTATGCTTGTATAGAAAACTTAACTACTTTAGGATATTACAATTTTATTTTCAGTACATTTTCATGAACTTTTAATGGGCAAAAAGAAGAAATAAATAAAGAAAAAAAGTGCTCCAAGGCTTATATGCTGAACTTTGGAACAAGTTTATATGCATGCTGAGCCACTTAAAAGATTTTATTAAGTAACTTTTACAAATGTGAACTGAGCACAATAAAATTAAGTGAAATGAAAATGTAACAATGGAGCACACAATAGGTCATAAGGTTGGTTACGAACTTGAGTTCATCAAAGTGGGGGGGAGGGGACCTTGCTTTAAAAAAACAAAACCCTATTTTTTTCCAAGGTGGGTTTTTTCAAAATTTACTGAAACACATAAACAAGCTTTACCTCAAAAAGCAAAATAATTGTAAATTAATTGTATTTAAACAAAAACTTTCAAACAATCGATGATGAATTTACTTGATATGCTAATTGAAAAGCATTCAACTTGTTTTGAGGGCATATTAATGTGCCTTAAATTTGGATGGATAAGTGAAGTATCTGTTCTTATGAATAAATTTTTTAATTTATCAAAAATCTTTTATCAGACAAGTTTTAATTACAATTGCTAACTTTTGATATGATATAAATTTTGCATTTTTATAATTGTCTAGGTAGATGGCAATGCAAATTTTAAAATCCTGCAAATTATAATTAAATCAATTTATTTCATTTATGAAAATTTTTCATTTTTTTATGAAATAAAATAATTTATATAGCTTGAAAAAATAATTGAATAGGAATTCAAAAAGCAAAGTTGTATATTAAATTTCAATGACAACTGAGAAAAATGATCAAGTATAAGTTTTTTTTCTAATCGACACTGATATTAAACCATTGCTAATGTAATAAAAAATTTTGCTATTCTTTAATTGTGTTATTTTAATTTTTTTGTAACAATCTGTCTGTCTTTATGAAACAAAAATAATAGGTTACATTGCAACAAAACAAGGTATAAATAGTTACCTTTCATGCTAGAAGCAAAACCAGCAATCTCATGGAGGGCTCGAGAAAAAATTTCAATAAAGCCAGGGTTTTTCATCAAAAATCTGATAAAACCCAGGGTTTTGATAAAAAGATTTTTTAAAAAAACACGCGGACTGGGCTTTTAAAAGAAACCCCTGTTATAAATATGAAAAGTGAGGTGATGGGTACCTGATTAAGACCCTCGACACTACTTCTCATTCTTGGAATCAGAGGCTTCGGAATGTCAGGGATTGGAATAGGAAGAGCACGCGATGATGCAGAGGCAAAAGAGGAATAGGTGGCACTGGCATTGTTGCCATTGCTAGCAGCAAGTTGTGCCCCCTGGTGGTGGGGAGAGATGGACGGCAGAATAGGAGATGTGGCTCCACAGGTGGACGATGATATGGCATGGTGGTCCCCTTGAACGGGACTCTGCCTTTGGTAAGAGCTGGAGGGCCCCGTGAGGCGGCTGTTATGATTGGTCCTTTGCAGGCGCTGGCGGATAAACTGAAACAAAATTGAAAAATAATTTATGTACGACAGCTACTTGTAATAAATTACAAAAGATAAATTTTTAAAAGTGAGTGCAGAAAGAATAAATTTGCATTTTTCGTAGCAAACTGTTTACAAAGAATAAATATTTAAATTAGAAACACTGCATAATATGTTTAAAAGAATTATAGGGTTGTTACATTTTTCAGTAAAACAGAGAATAGCCAATTTATGTTTAACATTTAAAAAAATATTTGTTTTCACTTTATTCATCATTATTGCATTTACAGAATTACACCATCACTTAAATCATTAATAGTCCCTAGTGATTAAAATATGCAATAAGGGTTCATTCCGAAATGATGTCTTAATTATCCAACTACATTTTTATCTTTGATAGGATGCTCAGAACTTAAGCAGGTAAATTGATTTTAAATTTCTGTACACTTTTAACCCTAGACAACTAAACATTCTTCTTACAGATTTTGCGAATTTGAAATGTTACTGTTGCTCTCATAGTACTCTCATAACTAGTACACTTATTTAAAGGAAAGGTGACAAGCATGGCTGTACACTAGTAAGTTTTCTGAAATCGTTGTCTAACAGTCAAATGTTTAGTTATAGCATGCAGATGTTTGCATCAATACCATATTTGGAAACAGTGAGTAGTTTTTTTGCTGTATTTTATTACTATCCTATTTTTTATTTTGTCCATCTAAGAAATGCAGACTAATAATACATGTGAAACTATTGCAACAAAGATTTTGTGGAGAGCACACAGAGAGGCAGAATTTGACAGAACATTTTGAATTGTTGTATTTTAACTCATTTATTTTAAAGTAAAACTAATTAATCCTTCAAAATTATAATTCTTAATTTTAATTCAGATATTTAATTCTAAATTTAATTTTTGAAAAAGATTCACAGATTTTATGCAAATTCAATGCAAATTCATTTCCAAACCTATAGTATTAGATTATAAAAATATGCTGACTTCTCTGCTAAAATAGGTTCACATATTAATATGAGCTGTATTCTGCCATGCAATTGAAAAATTCCATGTAACTGTTTCACGATAAATGGAGAAAAATGGCTAGACAACTATTTATTTTCTATTGCTAATGCTGTAAACACAAAAAATAGAAATTTTTTAAAAAAAATGATAAAGAAAAATTATTTTTGAATAAATACTTTTGCAATAACATTTTAAGCAATCTCATACAAAAATATTGAATGTCTAAAAATCTCAATTTCAATTATTTTATCACTTACATCGATTTTTCCATTGCAAAGCAGTATTCTCATAGGTCAGCAATATAGTTGAAATTGATTTTAAATATGAATAATGGGAATTAGTTACATAATGTATTAGAAAATGCAATGAGCTAATGAAATTACACATTCTTAAGATTAACAGCAATGCGTCAATCAGCTTAAATCAGTTATATCAATAACTGATTTAAGCATTATCTATTTTAATAAGAAACTAACCATATTTATGGTAAAAAATCATAAGGTAAATATGGTAAAAAAACTAAGCGCTGCTCAGCAATACTAATGCCAGAAACAATCCCTTTTATTAGTTGTACAAGGTGTAAAACAACAGATTCGAAATATAGGAAAATCAGCCTAGTAATTAAGGTTGGAAGCTATTGTCACGATTATTTTGTTCACTTAAATGATTCATTGAAGGGAAGTTTTTAATTATTTATTATCACTATTCTAAAATTCTGAGTTAAGAAAATTCTTTTTTAAAAAACCATGCAAATCTTTCCAAGTAAATTTAATTTTTATTTATTTTTTGAATAAGGGGCTAACTTTTCAGATCACTTAAAAAACAGCAAAGTCACCTATCTCCTATTTGCTCAATAGTATAAAATTCTTAAAACAATCCACAGGATTCTTAAATTTTAAAAAATGCAATCAATTATAGATGAACATATTCTTTAATTTTAAAAAAATATTATAAGAATTTACTAACACCAAGCATTATTATCGAGATAGATGGATAAAAAAAACTTTTATACACGTAAATTAAATCACAGTTTGTTTAATATAAAACAAAGTGCCCTTAACTCTAAAAGTAAAATTGAGTTTAATTAATATTTTTTTTTAAAATTTAGTAGCTCACAGTAAAATTTCATGGTTAAAGAAATATTTAAGGAAAAAGCAAGAAAAAATTTCAGAACAGAAAATTGATACCCCAAGTACAAGAAACAATAAATGAAGAATTAATATTAACATCTTACAGGTAAAAATTTAAGTAATCCAAACAATTATTGTATTCATGAAATTCCTCCTGCATTAATTACTGAGCAATATTGCATTTTTGGATTAACCACAGCAAAACTTCCTTATTTTGAGTAATAAAATTTATTTTATAGCACACACAAGCCTAAAAAGCTCAGAACAAAATGTATCTCAGTATAAAAAAATTAACTTAAAAAATATTCATTAAATAATTTAAAACATCTATTTTAATAAGTATAAAAGAAAAATTAGTGCTCACTTTCATTTCTAATGTTTCTCCAGAAATTGAAGATCCTTTCTTTTGAGATAGTCTTCGATCAGCCTCTTCAAATTCTTCTGGAGTCTAAATAAGTAAATCAAAAAAATACATTTAAGTGTGACAATAACAGAATAAAAATCTGAAGTTGAGAACACGCATAACTATATGATATAGAGCTCCATGAAACTATAACCCCACTTCATACTTTGGCATTTTTAGGCCAATCATGTAAATTAAGAAACCTCTGAATCATTATTTTCAGCAAAATGTTATTACAATTCTCTACTGTTAATTATTTGATATTAAAATTGATATATAAAGCCATTAAAAAGTGCAAACCATAAAATTATTAATGCATGGTTTTTTTTTATTTTTAGAAATTTTACACAAAAGTAGGAAATGATAATAGTTAATTTGTGTCTTAATGATTAAAGAAAACAGGGTTGGCAGGTTTCGACAGAGGCGATTAAAACTACCGGCATGGCTAGGACCTTTTTTTGCCACATTTGTGGAAGATACTCAGAAAATGATATGAAAATAATTACTGACATACAATAGATAATGCACAAGAAAAACAATTAAATGTTATCCAAAGTACAATTTATTTATATTAATATCATCATTCGGAATCAAATATTACATTGTTTGCATTTTGCAGGAGTCTAAGTCTACCAAAAGACAAGTTGACATTTACATTTATGATTGCTTATATCAGAGAAATTATAAACATTTTTTTTATCAATGAATCTATATTTATCAATGCTTCTTACATGAAGTAAAGATTGAGACTGGGCTAGTGTTTACATGATTTCATAGTCTTACACTTTTCGGAGGGGGAAATTCCCATTTTGGTTGAATCATAAATGAGCACTTACAATTATTCTGACATGCAATAAAGAAACATCAAATGCAGCTCTAAAGAAAACATGGTGGCTCGAAAGAAAGCATATTGTAAATAACATGGTGACCCACTTTTCTTATTTAACCCTTTGAGAAATAAATATAAAAAATTAATTCAGACCTAAGATGAAGACATAATTTCTCACTATCCCACAAACCTAATAACAAATATTTTGGTGATCAGTAAATCTCATTGAATATCAATTAAAAATGCATATTCTGGGAATCAAGGCCCCCTAAATAAAATAAAGATACCTGAATTGATACTTTTGCATGCTTTTTTTAATCACTATTTTAAACTTTTCAGTTATAATATGGACTAATTGTATTTAAATTTTTTAAAAAAGAGAGAGGGGGGGGAAATAAAATTTCGTAAATATGCTGAATGGTTCGAAAAATTTTGCTGAATATGGAAAATCTTTGGGAGGTCATAACATCCCATCCCAGCACCCCTGAATGGCACCAGTATTAATAGAGGACAATCTCTTAATAGAGTATCTTTTATTTCACTTATTTTCTTTCATTATAGTCTCAAGTTTTTTGCAATAACAAATAATGATATCATTGTATGGTATCATTTGTAATTAAATTTTGTTTTATGATACAAAATATTTGGGGAAAACTCCTTACCATTTAAAGCTCTCTTTTAAAATTTACAAAAATTACTTTGAAAATTGCTAGAAACTTACTAAAAATTTTAAGGTATTCAAATAGGACTTTTTTCAATAATCTAGATAAGCTTATAGCTTCAAATATGATGCAGAACAAAGTTAGGATTTTTTTTTAATTACAGTATTAAACGATTACTTTAAATGCTCATATCTAGTGCAATTATTAAAAAAAAATTTAAACTTTAAAATTTTATCATTTCTATTAATTAAAATATACTCCGATAATTTTGCTTAATTTTATTGAGTATTTCTATCGTTAAAGAAGGAAAACAAGAGGAAAAATTAGTTTTTTTATATAAGTATGTCCAAATCTTCATGAATATTTAAGCTAGGTTTAAGAAATTTTGTGCAACTATTGCATGTAACAACCAAAAAATTGAGACAAGTTACAAGTTTATTGTTATATTACTTGGCATGGAATATTCATAAACACTCTCTTTTGTTCGTCATCCCCCCTCCCTCCACATACTCCTCCCACTACACCTTCTAACTATATGATTATGATCATAACCACCTTATAATAATTTGTTTTAAATATCATTTGTAGAGATTTTGAAAGGAAAGGATACAAATGACACCATTATTGAAAGCTTTCATGCAAAAAAAAATTTGTACACAAAAAAAATATTGGCAAATGAAAAAACTTAGTTGATTCTTAGGTTATACCATGAACTAAAACTCATCTGTAAAATAAATTAATTTAAAATAAGCTTTTCTAATTGGTTTAAAATTTTGAGCAAATAATTGTTCCAAAATGAAAGGAAATAATTTTACACTCTTAATTTTTCAAACTTAATATTTAAGAGTTCAAAAAGTGTAAAAACTTTTTAGCTAGCATGGAGAGAATTTCATTTTGATAACTTTGGTCAACCAGATGGAGTTTAAAAATATTTCTCTAAGTTACTTTTAATGTGTAAAGTCTTGACATACCTGTGTCTTTCACAAAGGATCATTAAAAACAAAACTTATTTGAAGAGGAGTATGAATGAATACCTGTGTAGCCCTATCCATCATGAGACGTCCACAATAGCTGAGGTAGAGGGCATCTCTTTGCCACTGTCCCAGCAGATAGATGGTATCCACTGATGCTGTTCTCCTAATATAAGGGGCAGAACTGACATTCTTGGCCAAGGTCTTAGACTTATCTGCTGAAATAGAAATTAACTAAATAAGGATTGAGTTTTTCAATCAAAAAAGTTAAATTCATTTTAAAACTGATCAGCAATAATAATAAATACTAAAATAAACCAACAAAAAAAAAGATAATTGTTACAACAAAAAATTCTAAATAAGAATTAATTTTCTCTATCTAATTATAAAAATTTACATCAATCAATATGACAATTAGTTCTGTTCTAGTTAAGGTAACGCATAAACTTAACTTACTAAAACTACTTCAAATTATAATTTTAAAACTAAAAATATTTTTTAATTATCAATCACAGTTTTGTCGTTATTCATTACAGATTTCTCTTGCATGGCGACAAAGAATTCACCATTTCTTTTTCACATAATCAACAAAAAAAAATAAATAAAATATCAAGCATGTGAGCAGTCATAAGCATGAAAGCGTAAATATACATGTTTACTAGTTTCTGGCACCAAAAAACTTCTTAAAAGACGAGCTAACATCTGCACAAGTTTTTTTATTTATTGCTTTTTTTTTAAAACTGAAAATTGAAATCAATTTGGCACCTTGGTGATTGTAGTTGGCGTGAAATATCACGAGAAGGAAATATCCCCTCAATTGCCATTATAAGTAATAAGCAAAATCTTATGATTCTGACTAACTTTAATAGTTTGCTACCTCTATAAATTGTGAGGAAGGAAAAAAAAAAGACTAAGAATGCTTAGAATTCAGAAATATTTCAAACTTCTCAGATTTCTTTGATTGGTTTGCAGCAGTGCTCAAAAGAGTTGACATTTCTTAAAAACAAAAAATGCACCAGGGCTCGAAAAACCGCCCGTCCTGGGCTGTCAAAAATTCCATGCGGACAACAAATTTCTCGAATCCGACGTCCGCGCGGACGGCCATTTTCCCGTTAATGTTCGCGATAAATTTTTAATTTTTGTTATCTTACAAGAGTCTATCGCGTCACTTCTAAAATGACCCTCTAATAAGAAATACAGCAACATACTGTGTATGTTTGAATTGATGTTTTCTCTGTTTGATAGTACTGCAGCGGTTGAGAGGGGCTTTTCAGCAATGAACTTACAAAAAAACACATTACGTACTGGTCTTAAACAAGAAGCGTTAAAAGCAATTATGAACATCATCCTTAATGGAAAACCCCTTTCAGATTTTTGTGCAGAAACCTCTGTAAATCATTGGCTTGATTGTGGAACTGGCAAACGTCATATTTGATTCATTTAAAAAACGCAGTACCCTCGGATAAATTGACATTCCAGATAACTTGACCTTTGTCATTTAAATTATTTCATAAAAGAAATACTAGGTTACTATTAGTAACCTAGTATTTCTTTTATTACTGTATAATGTAATCCTAGTAACTACTAATTCATTGTGCAATTTATATAAATGTTTGTAATAAATAAGAGAAAATTATATTTTTATTTATTTAGAAGCTACGGGTTAGTTTCAAAGGAGGACGGATACATTGTTAAACAAGTCGTCCTAGGGGACGGGTAAAATTTCTGAGTTTTTTCGAGCCCTGAAATGCACAAAATTTTAAAATAACTTAATATTTCTGTAAATTATCTCAGAGACAACGAATATTGGATATCAAACGTTTGTATCTCGGATTGCGTTAGAAAGGAGTGTAATACATATTTTTTTTAAAATTATAAGATACTAACAAGCAATTAACTTGCATTTATTAAAATTTTGTAGAGATATTGTTGAACGGAAATAGTCACCTTTGATCGTTATAGCAAATAGATCAATAAAATTTGTAATGATTTTTATAATTTTTTCAATAATAAGCACTATAGTGTTATTTTCACACCTTATGGTCCATTGAGGGGCAGCAGATATCGAACTTAGGAGTTATTAGAAAATGAATGCTTCTTAATAATGATAGTTGAGACCCTTTAACAGCGCCAAACGATTTAAAAAATTTCGACGTATTCGAACCACCCTACCCCCTAACGATTAAGTTCTTAGCTGAAAGTTGTGGGTTCAATCATCACTCCACTCTTAAGAAATTAATTATTAATATAATTATTTCTTCCAAAATAGTCTTTATTTTAAGAATAGCTACTAAAAGACTAAAGTTATACAAAAAGATTACATAAATTTATCATTAGCTAGTGCTTTTTTACATTAAAAAAAGAAAAAATAATAACTACTTCAAACTTCCCATTAATCAATTTTTGAAAACAAAGAAAGTTAACATAATAAGCGACGCCTCCGATCATTAGGTTAAATACATACATATTTAACAACGCGAATACAAGGAAGAATATTAGTAACATCAATACACATTTCATCAATGAAACAGTTACAACTCCTACCGTCTCATAACAATTCCCCTTTAATAATAACTTTACAATGAAAAATATAAAGAGGCTTAATATGTTCTCTTTTTGCACCACCTCAGAATGGAGCATTAATAATATGGAAAAAAAAAAGAACGAAAATGCCTCAGTAGGGGGGAAAAGATGATGGAAGCTTAGTCGATTCTTCTATCGCGTTTTTTTAACAGTTAACGTTTTTTTTTTTTTTTTCCCTTTTCCTTTTTTTCTCTACTCTTTTGTTTTTTTGGAACGGTGCCCGCGAGTACGCACGGCCTTTGGCTCTGAGCCAAGATTTTGTCCCTTTCTACCTAACTTCCTCCTCCATCCCTCTTTCTAAAACTCTTCAGCGAAAGAGTGCAAGTTTCGATAGTAAAGCCAATGTGGAAAAAATATGAAGGGAAATTCACAACATTTTACGTTTTAGGGATGAGTTCTTCAGAATAATTTTTTTAAAAAATTAAACCGAAAAAAAATCTTTCGACTTGAAAAAAAAAACAGCTACTCTCACCTTTTCCCCTTCTATTAAATTAGATACATTTAGAAAGAGCAGTTCACATCACTTTTTTTTCTTCTTGTGAACAGCATATCATCAATTATGAATTATTTAACCCATCGCTTAAACTGTTTCTTAAAATTCGTTAAAAAAAATTCGCATGCGAAATACAGTTTCTCCATTATAAATAAATTTAAAAGAAATTTTACTTAGAGAAATAGGGTTTGTTGTGAGGAAAAGTAATCATTGAGATTCCCCACTAGTTAAGTTGTGGTAAATTCTCAGTTGAAAAAATGCAAAAAAAAATTTTTTTTTCTATCTAACCATTAAATAAAAACGAATTAAATACTAGATAAATAAAAAATTAGAAAAAAAAACAGGTTTGTGAATAATCATGACGTTCTCAATGCTTTTAGCAAGATTTCGTATGAAACATTTGCAGCAGTGCAACAGCAAGAAATTATACTGCACACAGAACTATTACTTTTCAACCATCTTTAAAAGAACAAAAACATTTTATGGTACATAATGATAATATTATGTACAAAATAGTACCAAAATAATTAAATGTTACAACAAATAAAACAAAAAATTGCAATCTCAAAAATCAGTAAAATAAACAAGGAAAAAATGGATTTTAGCGAAAACCAGTGAAGGTTAGTTGTTCCCCCCTGGTAGGGTTCTTTAAAAAATTTAATGTAGATGTAAGAATGTGGGGGTAATTTTTATTAAGGACCTGATTGTCAGGCGTCTATGCACCTTTGCAACCGAAAATATTAAATTTAAGAAAAACGGATGCTGTGGGAAAAGAAAATGCTTGTTTAATCGTAATAATAGCAAATAGTTTTCAATACATTCGAAAACATTTCTAAAATCAATATCGAAATAATTTTTTTAAAAAATAAAGTAAATAATTGTAAGGATTCAAGAGCGGGATTGCGACGAACATTCTGGGAAAAAATTCCTCGAATATTCACTTATTTTTCCAGACTGATTTTATCAAATTTCACCAGATTCATGTAATGATGGCATAAATTTTAAATTATTAATTTTTCAGTTATGCCTGATTCTCATAAAAATATTACAAGACCAATTTTTTTTTCAAAAATATTGGATTCCTAAAATCTTTAATTTTTTCTGACACCTAGAGTGTTTTAATTAAACATAATTGACATATCCCTGACTTTTCCCTATTCCGTAGCCACCTTGAAGAAAGAAAAGCATATAAATGTTAGAACACTGATCAAGGCAGTATTGAGATAATTCAATCGAATCAACTTTAAAAGGTAAAATACAGATAAACAAATTTTTCAATTGGATACCCGCAAGGGACATCACGTTTGTGTCAGCAAATCAGGTTCAATACACGCACGAGACGTCAGTTGCAGGTATCCAATTAAATCTGATCTGGAAATTGAGTAAGCGTGATAATAAACCCAAGCCTTGAAGCTGTAACGTTAACATGCCATGCACAGTCACGTGATTAGACACAATCATGTTATTAGTAGCAAGTAGTACCCAAGTCGCTCACTAAAAGAATAGCGAACTGTAAGATTAGACACGTAGGTACTTTACACACGACACACTAGAGCTGCACAATGGACTATTTTCGAATGGAAGACATGCCATCGCAATTTTTGATCCTCTGCAGAGGGGATGGCTCCCCTGCCTTTTCAGCCCGACACCCTCACCGAAGTCGAGCACTTTACGGTAGAACAGTTTAACGAGGACCGAAATCGCGCACCCTCGGTCCCTACGCAGGCTGCTCACAGTGGTCACCCACCCGCTTACTGACCATAGGCAGTGATGCTTGATTTCGGGATTTTACTGGGAACCGTGTCTACGGGACACTAAGATTAAGACAGTGATCTAAATTAAAAACCTGAATCTCTGGGTAAGACATTAAGATTAATTTTTTTTTTGAAGATTTTTGCTTCTTAATTCTTTAAAATGAAAATAATAAAGAAAGCAACTCCAGGTATTGAAGCCATTTACAAGGATGAGACAAGTGTCACTGATTAATCACATTGAATTTTCGTTCATAAATACTTTCTGACATGAGGTGATAGGTTTCCTGTTCGTATATTTATTCCTGATATTCAGATTTTTGCATTAAAAAAAACTGAGCTAATGTTTTTATTATAAAAATTCAGTATATAGTGTGTGTTTATCAAATGG